GGACTACACGAGGCTATGCGTCTCCTAGCGCTTAGCTGTAGTCGCTTATGTAGTATGTTACCATATTTGGGACTCTCTGCTCGTGTACTATAGCTATGCTTCCGGACTCTTCTGGTACTGTCTAGGACAATCCGTACTACTCCAGAACGGCCTAGACAGGTCTATGCCTTACTCATCTCTTACTCATCCTATGGTGCGATACGTCGCAATTCTTTCACCATTGTATTATTCATCGCACTATGGTACATGTGACTAACCACTCTTCGATTAGTCATGGACACTTCTCTGTAGTATATAAGGACTTCAGATTGCATCCTCCCTCTTCAGTCTTTCCTTACTGACTGAAGAGTGAGTACTTCGTTACCTTTACCTCTAACTTGTAGTTACTTACTTAACCTTTGTAGTCTTGCTTCGACTCTAGGTACAGTTGGTTACTGCAATATAGTCTTTCCTTACTGACTGGAGATCTTGCTTCGACTCTAGTCGGATCTAATCTTTGTCTTCACAGCCCCGAGTTTATCAGCAAGTGTTCATGATGGGAATCTAGTGTATCAGAGGTTAAGATGAGCCAAAAGGACGACTGATACGCATAAGAGAGCGAGCTCGAAGGAGCACGTCAGAGAGGAGGGCAGTTGAGATGAACATTGGATCCAGTTCCAGGAGTGCGTGTCATGTCACGCTCAGACCGGGTGTTGAAGGAGAAAAAATGTCGAGTAGAGAGAGAGGATAGGTGGTTAGGAGAGCGGCCAGAATGCATCTTGCAAGACACATCGTTGGCGAGGGACGTGCAGAGCTCGGGGGCGAGCGATCAAGGCGACTCGGAGGCAGTGTTGTTATTGACCTGTCAGTGACGGGGTTGGTCAATGCGTCAAGTCAAAGGGTCAATAGGTCACGTCAATGATGGACCCGTCAATCAATCGTGGGAACCTCGTCGTGATTGGCCAAGGATGGGATGACGAGACCGGTCATCGGCTAACCCGGTCCGCACGCTCTTCAAACTTGAGCCGCAAGCCTGCATATGTAGTTGTGCAAACCTGTAAGACTAGTTTTGGATATGAATCGACTGTGCTTCCTCTGGAACGTAAGTTGTGCACCTGGGTCCACAGTTGAGTATTTGAAGAGAGAGAATCCGAGACTCGTGTTGAATGTAGTCATGGTCATACATATCAGGACAGCATCTGAAAAAACAGCCTTTGCGAATTGACGCTAATTATCACTATTCAGATAATCTTATCTATATTAGCAAGTGTTAGCAGAGATGACATCTACATTAGAGCTACTATTCAGATGCACTTCTTCAGTAGTGCAACTAAGCACTAATTAGTATACTTGGTACTAGTTATAACTACTCTTCACTATCACTTTTTCTATAGTGCCATGTAGTGCCAACATGATACTATTATAGCACTACTGCAAATGTGGTCCTCTAATTTTCGCTATTTTGCACTACTGTAGTACTATTTTGCGCTATTTTAGCACTACTCATTTAGGGGAGACTCAAATACAATGACAATCCTTTATTTATAGCTCATAGTTCTCAACTCAAGCATTACACACCTTTATAGCTGCAAAATCACCATGATAGCTGACTTATATTTGAGGGCACAACTCAACACAGAACTTGTTATCATGTATAGGATTAGGCTGTCAGCATAGCATTTA